TCACCACGCCGTCTTTAGTTTTCTGTGTGCGAACCCGCGCTGGTACCACCTCACCTACCTCGGCAGCGAACTCTTTAAACCACTTGACCAACCAAACTGCATCTAGGAGGTATTCTTGTTGGGTTTGTTGCCATGTTCTTTGGCTGCAATATTTTCCTCTCGAACGCGACGCTAATAGCGCTGAATTGTAAGTGGCTTTACACCAAGGCAGTGAGCGAAGGCGGATCGACAAACTTGGCCGACGAACGGCAAGTAGTAGTGAAACTTCTCGCGTTCACCCTTGCCACGACGTCTAGTTGCGGTATCCGTCTGCATCAAGACGCCTACCAGTGTTAAGATGCACGTTGTCTTCTCCGTCTTGGTCGTCTGGCCAAGAGAGCACGTGAGCCATTCCAGCTCGCGTGACTTTCCCTTCAGACAACCCATCTCGCGCTCGTCTCCATTAATCAGGTCCGTCACGCACTGGCGAACATCGTTCTCAATCAAATTGATACTTATGTCCTCCTCAACTTCACTCCCAGCGCTTTCTCCAGTGACGACTTCTACGTCATCAGGATCGTCGTCGGGGCTCCTGTCCTCTTCATCACTGTCCTCGAGAGGTTCATCTTCGTCCTCTTCGCTCTCGTCTCCACGAACGTCGTCTTGACTGGACGCAGGCGCTTCTCGCTCTTGACTGGTGACAGGCGCTGTATTCTCTTGACTGGAAGCAGCCTCGTCAATGTTGGTGTCTTGAGCGAGCTGGACTCTAAAAACTTGCGAGTCCTCCGCACACTCGCTGGGCGTCACGGCACTAGAGTCACAAACGGATATCTGAGTGGCTGCAAAATCTTGGGAGGGCGATAGTGGGGGCGACGGCGGCGGCGGTAGTTGGCGAAGCATTGTGGACACTGATACCTTCTTGAAAACCGTTTGGCAAATGAGTGGGCTCGCTTTAGTGACCATTTGGGTTTCAGAACGGTTTTTGACCGTTTTCTCAAAACTTCGTGTAGGTACGAAAAATGATGGCCAAACTTTGAACGCGATTATCTCGATAACTCTAAATGGCACATTAGTATCATTTTGTATTGGATGATCTCATATGTGGATTGAAACGTATATTTTGATTATAACCTTCGTCTGCTGTAGGACTCTCCGACACCACATCAAGCTTGCTTTAGCGTGTAGAATGCCTTTTAAGGAGAAAATTTCTACATCTGCTGCAACTGTGATACTGTTGTGATCTCCTGACACAGCATGGTGATAATTACGTATCATACTTGACTGAAATGAGGTTTGAATCTACTTGGAAAATACTTGGGTTTAGTATGTATTGGAGATA